TAGTGTATTTATATACAATTAAGATTGTTTATGGATTTTTTTTTTCATTTGCTGTATTTATTTGCAGCTTTAAACTGCCATTATGGACTCCTAGCTTTTTTTTTTTTTATTTGGTGTGCCTTATTAGTAATTGGCACACTTTTTTTGTAATGCATTATGGAAGGATTATTTTGTGAAGGATATTTTTGGCTTGGAGGATGGTAGGATCTCTGTCATCGTAGTGCAGAAACAGTTTCAGGTCATGTTGCGTGACTGAGACTTTCTAACATAGAAAGGTGATGTTGGGTCTGACTGGAACCTGCCTTTGCCTGCCCTGATCTTTCCCTGTATAGAGGCAATGAGAGTTTCTAACAGAAAGGTGATGCTGGCTCTGACTGGAGGCTGCCCTTGCTCGACCCAGGCCTTCCCTATATTTATTTTGATGCTCCATTTGTCCTGGATTTCACCCAGAGACAGTCCCCTTCAGGTCCCTGTGCACTTTTCACAGTCCTTTTTCATGTTTTGTCCTTGTGTCTGATACAAGATGTTCTCAGCTCGTCTTGCATTCCCCGTTCCCTAGTACTATAATCAGCAACTTCTCCAGAATCCTGGCTTGACTCTGGGCCCCCAGGTGTTAGCATGAGGTGTGCCTGAAATGGGGCCTGGAAAGCTCATTCTCACCACTGAAACAACAATGAAGACCTCCTGTGCTTTGACGGGTCCTAAACCAGAACAGGGGGAGGGGAAAGTCCAGCACAGAAGTAGCCAGGTTGAGTACAGAAAGGGTCTTCCAGACCCACCCAGGCCCTGTGAAGGGGATGCCGAGCCCCTCCTTCCAGGGTCCTCCCTGCGTAGGACTAATTGTTGTTAGATGCCGTCAGGTCAAGTCCAACATAGTACCCTATGCCCAATGGCTGTGAACCCTGTCTGATCCTGTGCCATCCTCACGTCTCTGACATACTCCAGCCCATTGCTACAGTCACTGTGTCTGTCCACCTGGTTGGGGGTCTGCCTCTTCTTCACTGTCCCTCCACCTTTACAAGTATGATGTCTTTCTCCAAGGAATAGCTTCTCCTAGTGAGGTTCCCGCAGTGTGCAGGTGAAGCCCTGGAGATGCAGACGTGTACATGAACAGAGCCACCCGACGGCCTGGCTTGGCCCCCATAGGCAGTCCTTCCTCCAGAGAGCTGTGCACTGGGACCTGGCACCCAAGAGTACCGTGGCTCGTGAGCTGAGGAGGGCAGCTTTCCCACGTGCAGACCTTACGGATCATAGGTCTGCGTTCAGCCAGTCTTGTTATTTCTCATAGAGGATGAATGGACACAGATTTACATATGAGGGCACACTGATGACTCATCTTAGTCCAGTCTCATGGGCGATCCTCCTGGCCGTCAGCTCTCTTTTCTACATGACGGCTTTCTTCTTCCATAGTGAGAAGAGATTGGATTCCATTGTTTTTCCTCCCCTGCTCCGTGGGCTTCGTTTTCTCCATGCAGCCTGTAGCAGCGGCGCCCGTACATCTCCTGTGCATGCTCTCGTGCCTGCCTTGGCTCTGACCATGCCGTCCACCCTGACTCTGAATGGGCCTTTCTGCCCACGCGGTTCTTTAGGTCTGACCTCATCCCTGACAGGCAGCCCTGCCAGACTCAGCTGCTCCGTTGGGGCCAGGGCCTTTTTGGCCCCAGCACTTCAAGGAGACAGAAGGCGGGGAAGCACAGAATTTTTTTTTAAAGAAAGGAATAGGAACATGGAAGAACACATCTTTTAACTTTTAAAATCAATTTGCAAGTAATTTGGCTGTTTCACTGAATGGTAACTGAAATGTATTCCCTACTCCCTACACCCTGTTAACAAGAAGAGAGGACTTACAAGGTGAAGGTCAGTTAGTATTGACTCACATGGGGAGGTGTTCTTTAGCATCCCAGGCCCTGGAAATAACTTACGCACTGATCCCAAATGATATCAAGCCCCAAATCCCATTAATTCACAGTGCTCACAGTACAGCTAAAGATGATGAAATAAGTATTGGGAAGGCTTCACTTTAAGGGGAACTGTGAAATTAGTATCAAAGTCTACGCATGTGATCAGTTGATGTCTAGATATTCTTTACAAAATAGTAATACAGTGTAAGTGATGTATTTTTGTTTTATTCTGACAGTGGGTAATTTGAAATTGCTAATGCTCTGTAAGCCAGGTCCCTGTGGTTCACCGACCACACGGAACAGGCAGAGGCTGCTTCCCTCATGTGGACAGCTCCCAAGCCTGCAGGCCATCCTGCTCTGGCCGGCAGGGTTCCGGGGCTCCGATTTGACTCTGCGTCATTGGTTTGATTTGATTCATTGATACCATAACAGAAATGATAAATTACAAAAATATAATTCTTGGTTAATTATAAAGAATTCTTTATAATGCCAATACTTGTAAGAAATAACTCCCCATACTGGCACCAAGCTTATTTAACTTTATTGGAATTTTTTTTTTGCTTTTTTCTTTCTGTTCTATTCTAGATGGTCCACGTCCGTCCCAAAAAGAAATTATATCATTGCGGGCATTTATGCTACTTTTTCTGAAACAGCTCATACTAAAGGTAAAAAAATCTCATATAATTTGGAGAAACAATGTTAGATAATCAAACATTTTCTTACCATAATTTAAAATGGTTGTTAACATATTAGCAGTAACTTCCTGGGTCGTGAAAATAAGTTAAATGCTCAGCTACTAGCCTTAAAAAGTGGCCCTTTGCATAGGAGTATGCAATGAGGGTTGCAGAGTGGATTATATTTGGGGGTGGGGGGGTTTGGGAAGGTGCGGGGGGGGGATTGTGTACCAATGAGGGAGTTTTTCTTTTGCTTTTCAAGGAGAGCAGCAAATGGGGGGGAGAGGTTTGTGCGGGGAGAAGGGTGCAACAATGAATGAATGGAATTCCAAAATCTCTGTAGATGTTCATTGAAATGAAAAATAAACAACCTAAATTAAAAAAAAAAAAAAAAAGTGGCCCTTTGGAGGAGAGGCCTGGGGGCGTGCTCCTTTAAGCCTTAGTTCTGGGGGCCTGCTCAGTCGGTGAACATGGGCTTGCCATAGGTTCGGATCTACTAGATAACAGTTAACAGCAATAGCGATTTTTATTCATAGACTGCTTTCAGAATTTCATAAGTCTTAGCAGTAGTTTTGTTAAGCTAATATTAAATGTTTTTTAAATGGGCATGTTTATTAATGGATGGGAAATCATAAGCCTTTCAATTTCACATAAACATTTTATTCTAGAAAATGCTTTCTGTTCCTTTTTGAGAAAGATTAAGATCAAGACAAAAGGACATAAAAGCAAAATTGAGGTTGTAAAGTCTTACACTGATTTGGGCTATTTTAAGTGAAGACTAAGTGGTTGTATGGAAAATTGTACTGTTAATACAAAATGGCAGAAATTTAAAAATAGATACAATTTCTAAATATTTACTTATTTAACTTGAAAAAAAATCTATGAAATGGTGAGATTTTAATTAAAACATGACTGATTTTAAGTTTTATTTATTATCTGCTAAAATAATTGAGGTGTCATTCCTTAGTGAAGTTTGTTTTAGACTGCTTTTTCTCACATTAGGACCGAGGGGTCAAGGAAGATGAACTTCAAAGTATATTAAATTACCTTCTTACAATGCATGAGGTAAGCAGTGTTCCTAGGTTTCCGTTGTAATTTTTTAAAGTTTTGAATAAAATGTTGGCTAAACAAATACTGATGATCTTTATTATCCAGGATGAAAATATTCATGATGTGTTACAGTTACTCGTGGCTTTAATGTCAGAACACCCAGCCTCTATGATACCAGCATTTGATCAGAGAAATGGAATCAGGTATGTCTATGGCAGTAGTGTTACTGGACAGCTGGCTGAATAGGTTTTGTTTTCTGTGGTGGGCTGTATTGTAAAACTTTTAAGAAATACAATAATATCTTACACTTGAAATAAATGGGAGGAATATTAGTGCTGTGTATACAGAGAAACTGACAACATGCATAGAAATTTGATCTTAGGAATAAGGAAGTGGAGATAGAAATGACAACGTAACTAGGAACATTTTAAATAGATGAAAAAACAAGAAAAGAATCCCTCCCTTAGAGTAACTAGTCTCTTCTTAATCTTCACAGAATGGATTTTAGCTGCACTACTCAGAGAGCACTGGTGCTTCACTGATCAGAAGCAGAAATCTTTCCTGTCTGTCAGGGTTACTCACTGATGACACTGGTCATGTTAAATGAGCGCCAATAAAATCCTTTGACAGTTACTGATATTTTCTAAACTCTCTTATTTTGTAATATATAGTTGTAAATGTCCGAATCTTAATTTCCTGTTTATTCCACTAACTCAGACTTCTCTTTGTGTGCTGTGGTGTCAGAACCAGCCCATCGATGACCCTCTCACAGACTGTTCGTTGGGTTCCTGAGAGCCATCTCGACTCTGGCACCTCACAATCCCACCTCAGTCATATCTCCTTAATACAGTACCTATTTCACATGGGCGCCTCTAGTTGGAAGTGGCGTATCAATTTTTATAATACAGTGAAATGTAATTTGAGACATGACCTTTGAGTCTGTGGGCTCTCTCATTTGAAGAAGACCATTGTTCATAAACAACATGCCTCTGGAAACTCTTTGAACTTTGATAAATGATGGTAGTTATAGAAGGGCTTCAGGCCTTTTATTCATGGAGTCGCTAGGAGCCGTGCTCGACTCCACAGCAATCAACACCACCAACACCAACCATGATGGTGTGTAGTCTGTGGAGAGATATAGTGCAGACCTGAAAACTGTGCCTCTTTGCTGGTTCAGAACCGTCAGCAGCTCTGAAACTCACTGGAGGGGGAGCTGTGATGCACTCTAGATTTCAAGGCAGTGAGCTTTTTTATCCTGAGCTGGCTTGATCAAATACTGTCCATTTTGAATGGTTGCCTTTCATAATACAATACGTTTTTAAAAAAAATCATAGTTAAATTGAATGGTTAGTGTTTAAGCTGAATAGTTAAAATACTGTTCTGCTATGTCAGGCTGGATTCAGAAGCTGCTGAGGCACAAAGAATATCATTACTGATGTCAGACGGATCTTGCTGGAAAGAAGAGAATACAGGAGGATGCTTCTCTGTGTTCTGTTGACTATGCAATGCCGTTTGACTGTGCATCATAGTAAATACGGCTCCCATTGAGAAGAATGGGAGAGCAAAGACATTTGACTGTGCTCAAGCAGAACCTTTCCCTAGACTAAGAAGCTGTGATCCAAACAGAGCAAAGGAGTACCACATGCTTTAAAATGAAAACCCGTATGCATTGAGGCTGTGTCCCGCCTTACTGTCTGTTCAGTCTGCATGCTGCGCAGATGATTTGGGAAGATTAGCTGTATGAAGAACTGTGTGGCGTCACAATGGGAGTTAATAACAACAAGAACCTGCATTAGTGAATAGAATGACGTAAAAAGAATGGGTGGCTTTTAGCTGTAGTGTTGGAGAAGAGCACTGCGTATCTTACAGACCGCCAAGAGGATGAACAGGCAGTTCTTTGGAGGAAGTGCAGCCGGCGTCCTTGTTAGAGTCAAGGCGAGACTCCTCTCACAGATGTGAGCTGTGTTGTCAAGAGGCGCCAGGCTTTGGGAAGGGCCATCATGTTGGGAAAGTTAGAAGTCAGAGAAAGAGAGGAAGCCCCCGACAAGATGGACTGACACAGTGCCTGTGGCGATGCTACTGAGTACGTCAGAGCTCTGAGGATGGTGCCGGACAGGACAAGGTTTAGATCTGCAATTATAGGTACCTCCATTTGGAAGCAGGAGTGGCTTCCACTTCCTAAACAATATGCCTCAGAAACTCTGAACTTTGAGAAATGTTGATAGTTGTAGAGGGGCTTTAGGCCTTTTGTTCAGAGGGTTGCTATGAATCATGGCCAACTCGAAGGCAGTCAACAACAACAATAGGTACCTCCATGGTACCTAACGACAGCCTGCTGTGTGTATTATAGTAATTCATCACCTAAATTAGTCAATCAAAATTCCTCATGATCCTTGTGTAAAATCTAGAATTTAAGAGGTTAATACTCTGAATTCCAGATATATGATTGTCAATTATTTTGACATTTTTACAGTCTTAAGAAGGAAAATGTATTTGTTAGATATTTTAGATTGAAATATTCTTTTTAAACGCATAGAAGAACAGGATTAATTAAAAAAGACGAGCAAAACACACTTTTTGCCATCAAGCCACTTCTGACCCAGCTACCCTCCAGGACCCTGGAAATTCAGAGGCTGTGACCTTCAGGCAGTTGGAATGCCTCATCTTCCTGCTGTCGAGCAGCTGGTGGGTTAAAACTATTCACCGTTCGATGAGCAAAGGAGCAGTTAGTTAGCCACCGTGTCACCAGGGCTACTTTGACACAGTTGATAAAAAAACCCTTGGTGCTTCCTGGTTGCCCCTGAACTGAACATGCCAGATAGTTAAAATAATTGCAAAAAAGAGAAAGTGAGTTTTTCTTTGCTAGTTCAATTTTTCTACCTCAACTAAATGTGGAGAAGCTAAATTGTTTTCTTATTGGTTAAAAGGGGGGGAAATAGGCTTCCAGCATGTGAAGAAAGCTTGACAGTAATGACAGCATTTGATAGCCTGTGTTGTTGTTGTCTGGTACAGCGTTGGAACTGACTCATAGCCAACCCTCCGGCCATAATCACGAGGGAGAAGTTCCCCTGTCCCCTCACAGAGCAGCTGGTGGATCCCGGCCTCCTAGCTTTTTGTCAGCAGGGCAGGCACTTCACCGCTTCCTAGCTGAGGGGAGAATTCTCACCTCCTCGATTGGGACTGTGGTTTGATTCCCAGCAGAGCACTTGTGTGCATACCACCTGTCAGCGGAGGCTTGTCTATGCTGTGGTCCTGAAAACAGGTCTCACTGGGGGAAGAAATGTCTGGAGCTCCCCTTCCAAAAACAAGCTCATACAATCGCATGGATCCCAGGGGCCCAAGTCAGCGCTCATCAAGGCCAGGTAGCGTGGAGTTATGTTGGATCTGAAGTTGTCATGAGTCAGGGACCACTTTGATGGCGGCTAAAAGCAGTAACAAGATGCTGCCCCACAGTGAGCATTTAAACATTGCTCCGCTTTTGGATTCTTTTGAGGATCGACATTAAAGGGTAACAGTTGATTAGGAGGAAAACACGTGGATGTTGTTAGGTTCCATTGGGTTGTCTGTGATTCATAGTAACTGAACAACAGGTGACCTTGTGTATCCTTAGGACCTGCTTGTCCATTGTGCTCAGGCCATTGGGTGGTCACTGTGTCTGTCCATCTGGTTTAAAACTGGTCTCTTTCTCTGGCCCTCCAGCGGTCCAAACATGATGTCTTTTTCCAAGGACTGGTCCCTCCTGATAAGGTGGGATATCGGCACCCTCGTTGTACTACTTCCAAGACAGACTCATTTGTTATATGTTGTAAAAAAAATTAAATAAGATTTTTAAAAATTGAGAGATTTCAACTAATTGTATTTTTTATATTAAATTGGACAACAGTAAAAGAAACCTTTTCATTCTCATATTTTAATTTCCTTTAATGAGATTTTTTTTTTATCATGCCAAAATACTATACTGAGAAACTCAAGAATTCGATGCCTTTATATTTGTATATTTAAGAAAAGAATAGACAACTCTCAGTCTTGGTTCAGCCCATTTTTTCACTGGATGGCATGGACCTGCGTGGGAGAATTTGGATTCCTCTCTTACTTCAAGGGAGCTCTGGTGGCAACTCCCCAGGGAGTTGTGCTCCTCCCGCTAAGGGCACGTGGCTCTGGCCGCTCATAGACACCAGCTGCTCGGAGTAGAGCATCACTCTGCCGTGGCAGTGAGAGAGAGTTTCTCACATCACAATATCCACTGAGTTCTCAAAACGTTTCCTTCTGCTGCTTTATCACTTTGCATCCTGTTTTGCAAGAATAGATTTTTTTGTGATTATGAAAGAAAGTACAGTGCATGTGTGTTTCTGTAGGCATTTTCAAATTTCCTAGTGAAGTCAGACTTTATCTTGGCCTGAGCTGAAATCTTAAGATACTAGAATGTCTTTTGGAGCATTGGGCCTCCTTGGGAGCTTCTGATTTTGTCTCTAGAAGAACTACACTTCAGGCCTGTAATGTTTTCCTTCGAGTCTCTAGATTAAGTCTGCTCTTGAAGAGTCTTTATTACGGATTTCTGACTTTTTTTACATGTATCGCTTTCCTATTCATATGGTGTTTTCATTATTAATCCTGATCCCTTGTGAATTTTGAAATGGAATTTCAGTGTAAACATACATGGTGAAGTTAGGGGTTTTGGAAAAAAATTACTCTTTTCCAAGGAAACTATTTTCCCTTGTTCATCTATTCTCATAATCACCTTCTTAGTGTGAAAAGGAAAAAATAATAGAAAACATCAATTATTTTTTGATCAACAGTCTTATTTTCTTTTTTAATAGTGTAGAATGATGATTTTTTTTTGTAACTAAAATGATAGGAAAATGATACTTTTCCATTTTCTTCAGCCTACATTACATCAGTTTTGAGATACACCTTTGCCATTTTATTCTTTTATAAAAAAATTCAGTACAAGAAAAGCCATTCTAATTTTATAGAGCTGCCTTTGCCACCACAGTAAGAACCTTTCAGAATTGTAGATTTTGTTGTAAAAAAAACAAGGTCATTGCTTCTTCTACCATATGGAGAACTACTTCCTTCTTAAAAAGTACAATCAGTGGAATAAAATGTCTGCAGTACCTATTAATATGATAACAAATGTGGCCCTATTCATGAAGTGGCTGATATAGATGGTGGACGTGTTCTCTGTAGTATACTATAACTCCAACAGATTTAAGTGAAAACCCAACAGTGTGTTTGCTATAATATCATTAGGGTCAAAACTCAGTACTGGAAACCAGTCAGAAACCAGTTTCCTTTCTCTGTTGCTTTCTGTATGGTAAGTTCATTCTTATTTTTAATACCAGACTAGCTTTCTCAGACTCTCTGAACAGAAACCAAACATGGTTATACTAGTTCTTGTTTTAAATCTTGCCTTAATTGAAGAGCCATTTCTCACAGAAGGGACATAATTAGGCACACACCAACCTGTGCACCATCTAGAAATGCCAAGAGGTCCAATTGGGGGAGTCGCTGTTCAGGGAAGTAGAACTGTAAAGTGTGCGTATTTTAAAACTAAAAATTGGGTTCAGTATTTAGGAAGGCAGCACTTAAAACGGCTGGCATGGTTGCCCTTAGGACTATATGGTAGAAGATTGAGTTTTAAAAAATGACTAAAACATGCTCATTTTCCATTTTTATAAAGAAATGTTCTAAGATATTTGATATTTTATATAATTATAATTTATTTGTAAAGCATACCTATTTAGGTTTTAAATATTAGTATGTACTTGAAAGGTTAAAATACTACATTTTTATATTTTTGTTTTAGAGTGATCTACAAATTATTGGCTTCTAAAAGTGAAAGTATTTGGGTTCAAGCTCTGAAGGTTCTGGGATACTTTCTGAAGCATTTAGGTCACAAGTAAGTTATTATTTTTCATAAAGAATAGTATGAACAGCTGCTAAAAGTGTGCTTTTACTTCTCTTGTGTCTAACTTAACAGGAAATTTGACCGGAATACTCTTAAGAATGGAAAATGATAGCTTTTTGTGGTATCAGTTGTAATTCTTGATAAAACAAAATTTAAAGGTAGAGTATGAAACAAAATCTGTTTACTACCTGAAACAGAAAATAATATTCCTTTTAGAAATGTAATAAAACACTTTATAACAAAATATACACAACTGTGGATTCTCACAGATTCTCTCCCTGACTCAGGAATGTCTCGCATGTTGGAGGATCGCAAGGAACTGGTCTTTGATCATCTTCTGAATCAGCATTTTATCTTGTTTGTTTTCTTCTTTCCCTATGAAGAGTGTTGATTTCATGTATGGTTTGGAGATCTTAGAAAGAACTTTGACTAGTTCTTTTACACTGGGAAGCCATTGCTGGTGAGGAGGTTGTACTTCGCTTGATCTTAGCCAAAAGGCCGAGAAGCGATGGGAGGTTGTACTTCAGTGGCTCTGCTCCCTGCCCAGACTTCCTCTGGGAAAGGCATGCCCCCTAGGGAAGGGCTGCTGCCAGTGAGGGCTCAGACTCTCACACTGCTCAGTGCTGTGTGCTGATTACGTTAACCAAGTCTGTTGCCAGTGCTGATGAGAGCTACACAGCTGGTTTATCGAGAAAATGAGTTTGGCAAGTACAGAAGAGAAAGAAATAGAGATACAGCAACAGAGGAGTCGTTCACATGGAGTAGGGACACGCCTACTGAGGGTGTTGTGTGCTCTTGTGTGCAGAAAGGGATGCAGTCTTAGCAGTGAGCGATCAGGATGCCCATTTAAAGTATTTAAAAGAAAATTGCATAATGTATTTAAAAGCATATAGACCTGGATGCAGTCTCTTAAAATGATTAAGAGAGAATTTTTTCTGATGATACAGAAAAACCTGGAAACATAAAAAGAATGAAAATTTTAAATTAGCAAATTTTTGTGTAAGTATCGTTGTTTAAGTCTTTCCTCTCCCTTTCAGCAAACCAACTGTTGTACAGTTGTTGTCAGCTCAGGGCGACCCTCTGCCAAATTTTCAAGACTGCATATTTTTCTGGGAATATCATATGCCTCATCTTTTCCCTGCAGACTGGCTGGTGGAGGGGAAATGATAACTTTTTGATTATCAGATCAGCCTGTAACTCACTATTATGCCTCCAAACCAAACCCACTGCCGTGGAGTTGACTGTGACTCTTGAAGCCCCCCCATCAAGTGTCCAGGGCTGCCATACTTCACAGGAGCAGGCTGCCCGTCTGTTTACTGAGAAGTGGCTGATGGGCGTGAACTTCACACCTTTTTTTTAGCAGTCCAGCTCACGAGGTATCACGCCACCAGTGTCCCTTAAATAACACAACAAAGACTATCAACTAACGTCTCTTGGGAATCCATTCATTAACCTGATAGCTCGCACACTTGCCTTCCAAAACAGGACTGACACCTGCTTAAAGCTCCAAGAAAGGTTAATGGCTGAGAAAGACAAAGGAAAAGGGAGACTGGGAAATGAGGAGCAGAGTCAGATAGCACATTTCATGAGAGTCTGGAAGGCACCTTGCTGGACGTGAAAGGGGCACATTGAGGTCCAGAAGCCAGGCCTTTCATTGAAATAATTGACACGAATGTGCCATGGCAGGTGGAAGGATCCTTCTGAGTCACACTGGTACTGGAAAACTATTCAGTGCCTCACAAGAATCCCCCAGACAAGCCATGCCTGACACACATGAGTTGTGTTGTAGACGGAGCCCGAGAGAGCAGAGTCTGGCACTGCAGAACTTGGAGACTCAGAAGCCTGCATCCTGCTTAGGTGGAATGTGTGTCCCGGCTGTCTGCCATCTGCATATTGTATTCAGTCCCGCAGGGTGGCTGGGTCAGACATGGCTTGATGGGGACAGGTATTTGGTTGTCTTTTTTAATTATTCCTGTTCTTCTGTGCATTTAAAAAGAACAGATTATCCCATTGCAATCCATCTTTTCATTTCTTGGCTGTTCGTCAAGGATGTTGATTATGAATCCAAGTAAGATTATAGAATTGACAATTCAGCTTTTTCTCCCAACTATCATGATGTTGCCTGTTGACCAAGTGATGAGGATGTCTGTTTTCTTGAGATGTGGTGCACATTGAGGGCTGTAATCTTTGATCTTCTGTGTTGTTGTTGTTATGTGCCGTCGAGTCGTTTCCGCCTCATAGCGACCCTATGCACAACAGCCCTAAACCCTGCTCTATCCTGCGCCAACCGCACCGCCTCTGACACACCCATCCCGATTACCCCAGTCACTAAATGACCGAATGCTGTCTGATCTTCTGTAGCAAGCGATTTATGGCCTCCTCACTTTGAGCCAGCAAGGCTGTGTCAGCTGCATAATGATTTCTGAGGAGTCTTCTTGTGATCCTGACGCTGTGTTATTCTTCAGAAAGTGTTTGTTTTCTTTTGGTTTTTATATCTTTCCATAGATTTCTTTTACAATTTATGTGGGGTGAGATCAGAAGGATAAATTAGGGAGATTTAGAATAGTAGATGTCTTTGTTGTGTGCCTCAAATCAAAACCAGCCCAGAGCTGACTGTGGCAGGTATTCAGAATGAGTAAGTCACATGAGAGGACGTCCGTCCTTCTGCAGAGCAGCTGGTGGATTCAAACTGCATGCCTTCATAATAATAGTGGCAGGCTTCCTACAACTAGAAAGAAGTGACTAAAGTAAGAAAAGACCCAGGTAACATTACTACCCATGTTGTTGTTGTTGTTGTTTTTGTTATGTGCCATCCAGTCACCTGCTACTTATAGTGACCTTTGGTAGAACAGCTCTGAAGCCAGCCCTATTCTAAGCCAGAGTCACTGACTCTAACACACCTATGGCCATTGCTGCAGTTACTGTATCAGTCCATCTCATCCAGGGACTTTCTCTCCTGCTCTGCTATTTTACCTTTCTGAGCATGATGTCTTTCACCAAGGACAGGTCTCTCCTGACCACGTGCCCAAAGTGTATGAGATGGAGCTTCAGAATCCTAGTCTCCAAAAATACACTTGGTTTCACCCTCTCCAAGACAGACCTGTTTTCTTGGCAATCTGTGGTGTGTTCAAGACTCTTATCCAGCACCTCAACTTAAAGGCATCAGTTCTTCTTCTGTCATCCTTAGTCATTGTCCAGCTCTCTGATGCAAAACGAGTAATTGAAAAGACTATGCCTGGATCAGGTACACCTTAGTCCTTTGCTTCTCAGTACTCTGGAGAGGTCCCTGACAGCACATTTCCCCAGTGCAATTTGTCTTTTGATTTCCTGACTACTGGTGCCAAGAGTTTTGATTGTGGAGCCAAGCAAGCTATAATTATTAACAACCTCAATCTCTTCTCCCTCTGTTGTAGTGTTACCAGTTGCCCAGTGGTGAGAATCTTATGTCTTCTTCATGATGTTGGGCTTCAATCCATAATGAAGACTACAGTCCTTGATCTTCTGCAGCAAGCACTTCAAGTCCTTGTCAGTTTCAGCAAGCAAGGTTGTCTCATCTGTGTAATGTAGATTGTTGATGAATCTTCCTCCAATTTTGATGCACTTCCCTCCTAATAAAGTCCAATCTCCCAAATGCTCTGTTCTGCATATAGATTGAAAAGATATGGAGACAGGACACATCCCTGATGCATTTCTTTCCTGATACTGAACATGCAGTGTTTCCTTGCTCTGTTTTGTGGACTGCTCCCTGGTTTGAGTGTAGGTTTCGCATAAGCACAATCAAATAACCATTATACTATGGAGAGGGTCTTCATAAAATTATCTTCAAATTAAGATTTAAAAAAGCCAAATAGATTTTATTCAAGAAATTAAAAAAACTCTGTGTATCAAAGAGTAAAACTTTAAAATTACAAAACCGCCTCAAATTGTGGGCAGTGTTTGCCAGTTATTTGATGAAACATGACGTTTATAATGCTGTGGGAGTGCTTGTAATGGAGTCTCTATCATATGCTGCTAACCAGAGGTGTTTCAGCCCGTCAGTGACTCTTCCTATCCGTGATGGGCCATCTCCTGGATGGAGGAGGGTCACTGTGCATCAGAACCAACCACAGGGTGAGGGGACTGAATGAGTGAATGGTGTTCTTAGAATCAGCAGGAGAGAGTTGACCACCATTGAAAAAGATGGTGACAAAAGTGTCTCTTCTGAGGTGCTGGAAGTGGTCAGAAAACATACCAGACTTTCTTGCAAACAAAAATCCAGGTAGGCCAGGTTTGCCCTGTCCTGGTGGGATAGATACCCTCTATGCTAAGTGGACTTGCCCTGTAGGAGAGAGACAGGGAACCACTGTGGGAGGCGGGCCTTGCCCTGTGGTAGAGGGATAGGGACCCGCCGTGGGACCTTCAGTTTTGGTTTCTTTAGGACTTTATTGCTTAGTCTCCAAGCTCACTCTCTGCTCTGGAGTTGGAACTGAGTCCTCACTGCCATTCCCATGGTCTCCAGGGCTGTCAGGTGCACAGGAGCATTTGGTCTGTCTCCTGAGGAGGTGCTGTTGGGTTCCAGCCTTGGGTTAGCATGTAACCCCTGCATGTCTGCTGCCTGAGCTCCCCAGTTAGGAAGAGGTAACAAAAAAATGATGCCGTATGTAATTTATGTTACCAATTTCGTGATAAACTTCAAAGACAAATAATGATTAGATATATAGAGATAGTATGCAAAGGCATTTGACTGTGTGGATCATAACAAACTGTGGCTGACGATGAGAAGACTGGGAATCCCATAACACTTGATCGTGCTAATGCGAAACCTATACTTGGACCAAGAGGCAGTTGTCAGAACAGAGCAGGGTAACACTGCATGGTTCAAAATTGGGAAGGGCGTACGCCAGGGATGTGTCCTATCTCCATACCTTTTCAACATGTATGCAGAGCAGATTATCTGGGAGGCTGGGCTCTATGAGGAGAAGTGTGGCGTAAGGATTGGTGGAAGATCTATTAACAGTCTGTGTTATGCAGATGACACAACCCTGCTTGCTGAAACTGAGGAGGACCTCATGCACTTGCTGCAGAGGGTCAAGGACTGCAGCCTTCAGTATGGACTGAGGCTCAATGTCAAGAAGACAAAAGATTCTCACCACTGGACCAATTGGCAGCATCAGGATGGATAAAGAAGAGACTGAGATTGTTCACAGCTTCAGTTTGCTCGGCTCCACTGTCAACACTCTTGGTACCAGCAGTCAGGAAATCAAAAAGCGTATCGCGATGGGAAAGTCTGCTGTTAGGGACCTCTCAAAGGTACTCAGGAGCAACAGTGTCTCTCTGGAGACTAAGGTGCGCCTGATACAGGCCATGGTCTTTGCAATCACTTGTTATGCATCAGAGAGTTGGACAATGACCAAGGAGGATAGAAGGAGAATTGACGCCTTTGAGCTGTGGTGCTGGAGAAGAGTACTGAAAATACCATGGACTGCCAAGAAAACAAACAGACTCATCCTGGAGAGGGTTAAACCAGGCTGCTCCTTGGAGGCAAGGATTCTGGGGCTTCATCTGACATACTTTGGACATGTTGTAAGGAGGGACGGGTCCTTAAAGAGGGACATCATGCTTGGGAGGGTGAAGGGACAGCACAGGAGGGGAAGGTCCTCTATGAGGTGGACTGATTCAGTGACTGGGGTAATCGGGATGGGTGTGTCAGAGGCAGTGCGATTGGCACAGGACAGCGTTTAGGGCTGTTGTACATAGGGTCGCTGTGAGTCACAGACAACTCGACGGCACATGACAACAACAACAATAACAACATGCAATAATGATGAATAGTTTTTAAATGAGCCATTTTACTTTTTTCACAACCAGTTTCACAATGGAATTTTTAGAATGGCGTCCTGTTTGTTGTAGGGACTCCCAACTGTTTTATGTCAAAGATACTAAACTGACAGCTTTGGAAGCAACGTAAATGGCCAAAAGTCATGAGTGAATTATTTAGTTATGCTCCATTTGCATATCAATTATATTTAAAGACAGGGAAAACATGTTGGATTTTATAGCTAAAGATGTGTGGTGGGAACTCTGGTGGCCTGGTCGTAAGGAGCTGTACTGTCAATCTAAAGGCATGTCGTTTGAATCCATCAGTGGCTCCATGGGACAAAGATGAGTCGTCTCCTCCCGTGTCATTTACTGGTCCTGAAAACCCACTAGAGGCCCAGCTATGAGCTAGTTCCAAACCTGTGGCAAACTCTGAGCAACAATAATCTCTCAGAATATTTTGCCTAGAGGGCTGTGTGCTGCATTGATATGATTTCTCACATTCACACTTGTGTCCAGGGCAACTCATCTAGACGATCCTAATACTTAAATACTTTACTTTTTGGTATGGGAGTAGATATTTCTTTTATTTCACATTTCCATAAATTTCTGAACTTATTGTAAAAAGTTCTTTTTGCCATGGGAGGGGAAATTGTGTTTCCTGAAAGAGGTAATTGAATGAAGTGTTTGTATTGAGAAGTTACTTCAAGCTCGTAAATCTGTGATTTGGGTGAAAGTAGAGGGTACTTTAAAAAAAGGTGTAAATAGTGATTACATTGCATCTAAGTTTTCAGAAAGCCTGTGAAAATCAAAAGGTTAAGCAAATGGTGATGGCTGCTTAGGTCTTAAAGGTGCCAGTCTTTCTCATAATTGCTTTGTGAACAGAATCTGTGGGACTGGGCCTTTTGTTAGAGGCCTTATGGAAAATGCTATCCTGTGAGCACAAAGCCACTGCACCCAAACAGGGAATGCCACAGGCCAGCTGTGAGAGGGCTGGATACGCTTAGGTGTGAGAGGGCCAGACATACACAGGTGTGAGAGGGCTGGAACACACGCGGGTGTGAGAGGGCTGGACACACGCGGGTGTGAGAGGGC